ACAAGTGTGCTCCCCACCCAAAATAAATAAATAAATAAACTCTTTTAAAAATTTAAAACAAAAAATAAAACCTTCATTACAACTGATATTTTCTTTATATGGATATATATATTATTGGCCAAATACCTTTAATTATTTTCATATTATTTACAAAATACTTTGAATATGTTTTATTTTAAAAAGCTAATTGGATCATATATATGTGCACAATAACTAATATGCATATATACCAGTAAGTAGTTGGGGAAAAAATTTAATATAAAATATCTACTTTTGCTATTTCCATTTTGCCCATTTATTTTTTTCCAATTTGATTTTTAGTTTTCTTAATAATATATTTTAATATCTACTAAATTTAAAATTAGACTGGCTGAAAGATAGTATCTCCTGTTTTTTGTCCCCCAAATTATTTTAGAAAAACAGAGTAATTGTATGAAGAGAACAACTTAAGTCTACCATGTGTACCAATGGTACACAGTTCATTAAGGTTTTCTTAAATATATAATTTATCATGATTTATTTCATTTGATTAAGAATACTTATCAAATAACAGTTTATAGATACACTGATTTAAAAACAAGTAATTAGCTCTCTGTTTTATGTTAATATCCCTTTAAAATTTGAAATTAGAAATTTAAAATTAATGATGATTATTAAATTATCAAGCATACTTGTTTTTAACTTGAAGCAATCATTTATAACTATGTCCCTTAAATAGAAACAAAATGAATCCTAGTCCTATCCAATAACCAAAACTATTCACCCTCTTATTTATGGAGAGAATAATTTTAAATTACAAAATCAGGCCAAGAGAATAAATAGTTCACCCAGGTAATTTTATAAATTTTTTTACAAATTTAAGTGACTACATAAATGCAAAAGTTGAAATATTTGTTGTTTAAACATAAATAGTACATAAGACAATAGAAAGTTTAGTTCACTCATTAACTTAGAACTTGAGAGATATTATAAAAAAAAAAAAGAGTCATCAGCTAAGTCTTCCCTGAAAATGTTTGTATGCCTTTGAAATATGTTTATGTTACCTACTTAAGACTGCCAACTTAATTTAAACAATAGTGGTAGCTGTAAATTCATGCCAATAATTTGACTGCATGGGCTGAAGTTACTCTTTTTGTCTAATTAAAAAAATTTTTGAGAATGTAGTTTAAGTAGACTTTACTTTTTTTGGTCAATTCAGTCAAATTAAAGTCATGTTTTGTAAGATATGCCTAATTCCTGTTAGAACAAAAGATAGTGAATCATTGAAATATTTTGTTATGACATGAGCTGATAATGCTCAGCGTATTGAAGATTAGAACCAAAGCAGACAGGAGGTGAATTTGAGGTTAGAGGATCTAAGTATTACTGAGAATTGTTCCTTCTATAAAAGAGGATGGAGATGGTCGTTCTTCTCAGGGAGCTTACATTTTGATTGCAGGATAGTTGAAATCCTTGTAAAAGGATTATGAATAATAATTATGAATCATGAACTATGTTGGGAAGGAAGGAAAGTAGGGGCTGAGGGAAAACAACAGAGATGGGGTAGTGGGGTAAGAGCCTTTAGCTGAGCTGGTCTGAAGTGGGTCACTTTGAGGAATTAATATTGGAGCAGAACCTGAAAGATGAGACAAAGGCAACCACCAAAAGTCTCCGGTGCACATGATGCAGGAGAGAAAACAACCAAAAGACCTACAGGAAAAAAAATACATTTGAGATGCTGGACAAAATATGAACAAACCAGGGAGACTTTGGTGCAATGGGTACATGGTAGAGGAGACAAGATGATGTCAGAGAGAATGGCAAGAGCCAGATAGGGGGTTCCCAGGGCAGAGTAAGGAGTTTGGAATGTCTTACACGTTAAAGGGAAAGTCAGCAAAGAATTTTAAACACAGGAGCGGCGTGACCAATTTTGCAGTAACTCCTGTGTAGCCCTGTGGGGAATGGGAGGATGGAGGCTTGGAGACTGGTTAGCAAGCTGTTTCACAGTCAAGGTGGCAAATGATAATAGTCAGAACTAAGGTTCTGGAGATGGCAGTAGAAGGATGGGCAAATGGGGTAGGGGGTGGTGATACCGTTTTCTTACAGTCAAGAGCTGCCATTTAAAATTCAGAGAAATTCTTAAGAATTACTTGAAGTAAAGAGGGTAATCGATAGGAGAACTCTTCCGCTGTAGTAAACATACATAACAGTGAATACCAGGAGAAGGTGGTAGGAAGATGACGTCAAAGAGATATATCCTTGTCTTTTATATCTGGTTGCTAAAAGTGGTTAATAAAGTTGAAAAATCAAGAATTACATGGAAATATAACCAAGAGGGAATGCATTTGGCTCAGCCTAGCTAATGGGCTGACCCTGTGTTTATGTGTCTGTGTATTGATTGCTACTTTGTGGATGGAATCTTCCTTTGGTAGATTCTTTACTTTTTAAAAAATAATTGAGAGAAACCTGGGTGGCACAGCCGATTAAGCACCTTGCACTTGGTTTGGACTCAGGTCATCATCACAGGATCCTGAGATCAAGCCCTCTGTGGGGTTCAGAGCCCAGCATAGAGTCAGGTTAACACTCTGTCCTTCTCTTCTTCAGCCCTTCGCCTTCCCCATCTCTCCTCCTCCCCACCCCATGCAAGCTTGTGCTCCTGTGGTCTCTCTAGAAAGTAAATAAATCCTTAAAAAATAGTAATAATTTAAAAATATTAAAAAAGAGCAATAATTTAAGTTGAGTAAATTAATTGATTAAAAAACTTTATTACTCTTCCCTTGCATTAAATTAGTAGGATAGGAACTAATTCTATCAAAATGTTAATATACTAGTGAAAACTATTTCTGTATGCACAATATAGGAACATATTTGAAATTTAACTAATTTATGTTTCCAGTAATCTTTATGCCATGAGGTAGATCTGAATTTCTAAACTGAAAAGCACACATATTAGCCTGTAACAAAGCATAAAATTTTCATATGAAAGCATGAACACTAAACTTAAAACTAACAACTACCAAAAGAACCTGGCTTTTGTTCGGGGGGTAGAAATGAGGGAAGTTGGGGTCTGTGTTGTTTTATGATAGGGCATCACCACTATTTAGTGGAGAAAAGTATGTTCACTTAAATTCTGAAAAATCAAAACTATACTGTGGAATCATTTCTTAAAAGTTCCCTAATATAAATGTGCAAAAAATTTGCTAGAACTGCAAGGAAAAATGACTATATATGAAATCCAACACAGGTGTTATTTAATACACAAAAGTACAATTGTATATGGAACTTGAATGAAATGTTAAACATTTTCATAATGAATCTATTCCATGATGGGATTCAGCTCAGTTGGTTATTTGCCCCTTGCCTTTTAAAAAGAAATTCTAGAATGGGCTGTTAAATGATTGCCATAAAACCAAGTAAAGAAAGGAGTTTAGCAATTAAAGTAATAATAAATATGTATGTGATAAGAATCATTGAATTTCACTTTTTTTAATTTAAGTTCAATTAGCCAACATATAGTACATCATTAGTGTTCAATGATTCATCAGTTGCATATACCAGCCAATGATCATCACATTACGTGCCCTCCTTAATGCCCATCATCCAGGTACCCCATCCCCCACCCACCTGCCTTCTGTAACCCCCAGTTTGTTTCCCAGAGTCAAGAGCGTCTTATGGTTTGTTTCCCTCTCTGACTCTTTCCCATTCAGTTTTCCCTCCCTTCTGCTATGGTCCTCTGCGCTATTCCTTATGTTACACATATGAATGAAACTATATGATATTTGTCTTTCTCTGATTTACTTATTTCACTTTTACTTATTTTCACTTATTTACTTCCTGCAGGTGATACCCTGCAGTTCCATCTATGTCTATGGAAATGGAGGGTATTCATCCTTTCTGACGGCTGAGTAATATTCCATGCATATATAAATCACATCTTCTTTATCCATTCATCTGTTGAAGGACATCTCTGCTCCTTCCACAGTTTGGCTATTGTGGACATTACTACTATGAACATTGGGGTGCAGGTGCCCCTTCTTTTCACTACATCTGTATTTGGGGCATAAATAACCTTTAGTGCAATTGCTGGGTTGTAGGGAAGTTCTATTTTTAATGTCTTGAGGAACCTTCATACTGTTATCCACAGTGGCTGCACCAGCTTGCATTCCCACCAACAGTGTAAGAGGGTTCCCCTTTCTCCACATCCTCTCCAACACCGTTGTTTCCTGTATTGTTAATTTTAGCCATTCCAACAGGTGCGAGGTGATATCTCATTGTGGTTTTGTGAAATAAAATAAAATTATGAAAATATATATACTTCATGTTTTCTCCTTTGATTTCTTCTTTATCCATGGGCTAGGCAAAACCTGAATTTTGTGAATAGATATGGTAACTGACAGAAGTCTTCTTTATTGTTTCAAGTGAAGTTATACATAATTTGAGAATCATCATTTTGGTCTTAGAAGATAAATGAATGTAAGGTGTTAATCTGTGTCATATTCATCTGTATGGTTTTAAGCACCAGGTTATGACAAATATTTCAAATTATCAGAGTCGTAGTAGCTGTGGTGACAGATTCTCTGAGATTATCACCTGATCTGAGATACCCCAATTAGTTAACTGAATGCTGGGGTTGCTAAAGAGCTCCTGAGTACACAGTATTTAAAACAAGTGCCTGGAAGGGATCCGTTGCCAGTGTAATTCTGGCATGCTGTAATAATTTCTGGGATTCTGGATATTTTAAATATTGCTTCTTTACTCCAAAAGAAATTTTAATGAACTATCCTGATTTAATATCTCATGGCTTATTTTCTCTGTCACAAGAATTTGGGTGATTCAAGTTTTCTAAGTTTTCATTTATAAATGACTCCTTGTTTTTTATATTGTTGTATCACTTAAGTCTTCATAAAATGTTTATTTATATGCTTATCTTTTCCTTATACTTTCCCCCTTTCAGAAAGATGTTTAAAATCAGACATAAAAATTGAAAATGGATTTTTTTCTGAATATGAATCTGTATATCCCTTGAATAGAGAAATAAAATATCAGTGTAAATCAGGATATATAACACCAGATGGTAAAACTTCAGGATCAATTATATGTCTGGAAAGTGGATGGTCTCCTCAACCCACATGTATTAGTAAGTAATTTTATGTTCATATTCATTATCCTGATGATTGTTATGCAAAAATTTACTTTAACTTAATTCTTCTCCGCGGGCAAGGGCTTACATGGTTCCCATTTGAAAAGATAAATGAAAAAATATGTAATATTTTTTACTATTAAGATTAATCACTTGTAGGGTGGAATATCAGTCCATCTTTCAGTTCAAGTTTTCTTTCACTTTAAAACATCCTGTGATTTAATTAATTAATCAATTAATTAAAATAAACCATCCTGTGGTTTGGAAACTAGATAGCCTTATGTGTATTCTCCTAGAAACTCATTTTTTTAGCTGACATCCTTGTGCCTACTGTACCTGTTTTAAAGTGACTGAACTTTTATGTCAGTCTTTGTTCCTAGACATAAAATTTATATTTTTTTAAGTGAAGATCTGGGTCCATAGTGCATAATTTTAATTTAACCTATAGAATTTACATGTTTGATAATCCAGGGTCGGTCCACTTCTAAAAAATTCTCTCTCTTGAGAAAGATCATAAACATCTATTGATTGGAGACAGAAATGTTTCCAGATAGTACCAAATGCAGCTGTGTTGAAAGATTTCCCTGTCTCTAGATATTTACAGATTTTCTAAGAACAATTTGCTCAGTTTATCTTATCCTCCAAAGCTACACAGAGATAGTTTGAACTGATAGGTAGCATATTCACTTTAAGTAAAGTGGATATTTGAATATCTGTTTCTACTGTTTCCATTTCCTTATTTTTTTTTCAATTTCCATGCTTACTATGGGCACTAGCCACAGGAAAAAAATGATAAAATTGTTCCCATATCAAACTCATTTTATACTAAATTGTAATCAGTTATGCATTAAAACACTCTTATTATGAAAGAGAAATCTCTCTCTCTCATTTTTCACTAGTATAGCTTTGCTTTCTTTTTTAAGCTTTAAGGTAGATGCTTATATAACACAGTATAACATTTGAGATGAAGTATTAAACCTCTATTAACATCATTCTAGTACTCTGTTAGCAAGAATTGAGACTTTTAACACTTTACTTCCTTATAATGAAAAAAAAATAGAATTATGTCTCTATTTGATCTTGGTAAATTTAAAAGAATACACAGCCACTAGGGATATATTTGAGAAAGAAGATCAGCATATGAGCTTTAGAAATTATGTTGTCAAGTACAGTGTTATAGAATGTTTAAAAATTTACTTGCACAGTTGAAAATTAATCTTGAATCAACCAATCTGGCCTATTTGTCACAGTGCTAATGAGTCTGGCAACTTAATTCACAAAATGCCATTCTGCTTTGCTAGATAAGGTATGATACATCTGTAATGGCCTATTTTATTATAAGCATGGGATAAACATATAGGTATATTGAGAAAAGTGTTCTTAGAATAAATTTTTCACAGTATGCCCTGAAGCATTCCAACATTTAGGTGTCAGGCAGAAGAGAAGTAGGTGGCAAAGTAGCTAGAAAAAAGGAGGACCCAGAGAAAAGGGAGAAGAAAACATTTTGGAATGACTGTTCTCATAGATGTGAAGAGAAGAAAGTGATTAAAGGATAAGGAAATAAAAGTGAATCCTGTGGAGTCAGCCTGGTCAATTCCAATTCCCTCATTTACTAAATTCCAATTCCTTCATTCACTAAATTCCAATTCCATCATTGACTAAACATGTATCCTAAGGCAATAACCAAGCTTATTTGGAGCTTTGTTCACTCTTCCTCATCTGCAAAATGTTTTAATAATTACAAATGCTTTAATATGTCAAAGGATTGTTTTACATTTTAGTATGACTCTAATATTTAAATTCCAGTTTTTAATTTTGCAAATTAATTAGCAAGATAGGAAGGTTCCATATTTGAAAAATGCATTTTTTGTAATATTTAGGAATGTCATAAATGTCACAAATGTCACAAACTTGATAAATTTAAAGTGATAATTTTCATATTCTTAAATTGAATCAGAATAATCAACCATTTATTAATAGATGATATAAATTATAGTCCAATAAGAATAGATAGTTGTACGTTATATAAGTATTCAGGACACCTAGAATATGCCTAATTATGTGGCCTTGAACATGTGTCTTTATTTTGTTTCATGTTTCAGTTTATGGTTCAGTTTTATTTCTTTACTAATATAATTAACATGATATAATATAAATTAAGCAATTTTAATAGTGTCTTTAAACCATATTAGAAATACCTTATATGTGTTCTGGTTCTCCAATTACATTTACATTAAACAAAAACGCCAACTATTATTTGAGTGCAATTTTAAACTTATAGCATCACTTTTTTAATGCAAAAGAATACTTTTATGTTTTGACAGTACAAAACAATATCACATATTTTATAAACAAATGGCAGTTATAAAATCAGATCCAATACAAGCAAGTTGATGTTACAAATAAATTTTCAGGATACATATATTGCTATTCAATGCCTTAATATTTCTGAGTCCTCTATGAATTTAGAAGGTGTGTAACAACTAATATGGAATATTTTTCAAGGAGGAGGATTTAACTGATGCCCTCTGTATATGCAGTATTCAGATCCTCATTTTTTTTAAAGAGTTTATTTACTTATTTGACAAACAGAGATCATAAGTAGGCAGAGAGGCAGGCAGAGAGAGAGGGGAAAGCAGGCTCCCCGCTGAACAGAGAGTCCAATGTGGGGCTTGATCCAGGACCCTGAGATCATGACCTGAGCCGAAGGCAGAGGCTTAACTCACTGAGCCACCCAGGCGCACCCCCTCATTTTTATAAGACACATGAAATTTCCTGTGGTGATGATTGATTAGATATTCTCACCAAATTATTTGACCTTTTCTTTATAGAAATAGAATGCAAGTTTCCAGAAGTAGAAGAAAACTTAATTGCTGACCCCAGAAAGGACAAATACAGAGTTGGAGATGTGTTGAAATTCTCCTGCAGATCAAGACTTAAAAGAGTTGGACCAGACTCAGTTCAATGTTATGACTTTGGATGGTCCCCTAACTTTCCAACATGTAAAGGTGAATATCTATCTTACAATCGCTAAAACAAGAATTAGGATTTGGATATCAGCCTTTTTTTACCTCTTGATTTTCTGTTGGCTTTGAGTGTGTCTATAATCTAGTGCATTAAGCCAGGACATGTACTGGGTGGGTAGATCCCTCAGACTTCCTTAGTTAAGCAATTAATCTCCAATTGTTTCTTGAAATATGTAGTGGAAGTATGCATAGATACACATATGATGTCTCACATTCCTTTTGTTATTTTTTCCTTTTGCCTACAGTTCCACCAAAAATATTGGACACTTTGTATTGTATGCACCTTTCCTCAAGTTTCATTGGGTCTAAATGATATTCAAGCAACTTATTGTCAATTCAATCACATGTATGCTTAATCAAAGATAAAACATCTTGATCAAATGCTTTTCTCAAATTATGGCACTTTCTCAAGCACTTCTAATAAAATGTTTCCATGAAATGTGAATATTGCTGTATCTACACAACCACATTTATTAATTGGTTTGCACACATCTTTAGAATATCTAGATTATTAA